TAACCAATTAATCAAAACCTGATTTTGCATTAACATGCATTTCAGTAATGATGTATTTAGGGATGATTATGATGTTATGATGTTTTACTGACTTAGCATAAAGTAAATAGAGATAAAAAGTTATTTCCAATATTATAATTTAGCTTCCTAACTTTATATATAGAGGGCAATAAAATGATAAATTCATTTTCCAGCAACGCTCTTTAACACCTAATCCACAACAGATCAACATTAAGATACATAGAAAACTATGCTACAGGCATCTGCATCCACTTGTCTTAGAAAAAGGAAAATACCTTCTTTTGCATCTGTCCTTGAAGATCTTCAGTCACTTTAGTTAACTCTTCCACTTTTGCTGCTGCAACTCTCAGATCTAACTTGGCTTGCCTAAAATACAAAGTAACGAACACTGTTTTCATAGACCACAAAATTTTTTTAAAATTAGAAAAGAAATTTAAATTTGGTAAAATCAGTACTAACCATTATGCACCTAAAAATAGATGTAAGGGGTTAATATTGAAAGATTCCTTTACTTCTAGTAAATGCATGTGGAAAAGAGTAAAGAAGAAAAAGTATATCTGAAAGAGTGAGCACGAAGTGGGAGTCATTAATACTTTATTTGGATAAATTATATTTTATACTCAAATAATTCAATAGATTTCATGAAGAAGAACTTTATCATCATAATGAATTACCTAACAAGAATGTCAGTGCATTAAGTAGAATACAGTTACATCTATAATTTCTTAAACAGAGTTAGAGAAGTATTGCTAATGGGCCTTTCTATGAAAATGAATCCAAGCTTCAACACCTTGATCATTCCCCAAACACTAGAAGTACGTAACATAATGAACTGAAACACTGGTCTCAAGATAGTCTAATATCTTTCTTCAGAGACTGTAAAAGGACAAAAAGGACAAGTTTTTGAATATTCTAATATTATCAAGTAAGTTTCAGTATCTCCTCCACTTCCTATAAAGATTTTAGAATAATAAAATAAGACTTTCTGAAACAGAAAAAGACTTTTTAATATCATACCAATTAAGCACTAAGTATAGATAAAGAATATGTGGATTATGTTAAAAAATATACTTTTCAGGAAGGAAGGTACTTTAGGAACTGCCTCTATTTATTTCTTTTTATTTTATGTATGTATTATAAATATAAACCACATTAATGCTGTAGAACGTAAATAAATTATTTGATGCAAAATTCACAATGTCAATTCACTTACTTTGACTCTTAACGGTGTTTAGAATTACATTATTTTTTTTACATTTTTTATTGATTTATTATCATTTTACAGTGTTGTGTCAAATTCCAGTGTTCATCACAATTTTTCAGTCATTCATGGACATATACACACTCATTGTCACATTTTTTTCTCTGTGATTTATCATAACATTTTGTGTATATTTCCCTGTGCTATACAGTGTAATCTTATTATTGATTAGCATAAAACAACAGGAAATAAAAAAGCTAATAATAGCTAAAATGTACCAGGTAATTACTGAGTTCCAGGAACTGTCCTACATGCTTGTAGACACTGTCTCACCACAATAACTCTGTGCATTAAGTAATATTGTTGTATCAAACTGAAGTCTAGAGAGTAAGGTTGACAGAGGTTTGCCAACTTGCAAGTATTCACAGGTAAGCAATGAAACTGATATTTAAACAGAGTCCTTTGATACACTGGCAACCAAAAAATAGCCCCAATAATACTGCATAAGATTAAGCATATAAGGAAATGCTTTGCTTTAAATAACTCCAATTTATAAAAATTTGACTATCAGATAAAATAATTTTTTTCTGCTTGCAAAATGATTCATCAGATGACAAAACAAAAACAAAAAACAAAAACTACCTTATACCAGTGCATGTAAAATCTAAGCTTAGAGATAATTTCAGAAGTGAATCTACTATATAAATCAATGAATAAATCTACCAGATATAAAATTCTATTTATTTTAAAAGGAAAAACTGAAGGGGTAAGATATTTATCTGGTAATGATAAAACTGAGTAACCTCTGACTAAGCATAGCATCCACTCTGACTTAGTTTTCTTGCCTTTAGAAAGGGGATAATAACACTTGTTCTACTTGTGTCATGGCGTTGCTGCACAAGTCAAAATAGATAATATACATTAAAGTGCACTGTAAACTGTAAAGAAATGTAAGGTCAGAGCATGATTAAAGAAAAAAAATTGTGTTAGAGACACAGTAGGAATGAGGTCCAAGGTAGAGGATCCTAGAGTAAGGAACTCAGTTCTGTCACTAACCAGTGATGAGGCTTAATGTACTTCACTTGACCACAAGAGTGTCTCAGCGGTCTCATATCCAACAACAGAGAAGTAGATTAGATAATGTGCCAGAACTAAAATTCTATAATAGATGATTTCCTGATTTCTATGTAATTTGCCTAATGATTCTACTTCTAAATTTTCTCTCAATTGTGTATTCCATTTCCACTTTCATGGCCCAATGTTTGATCTCATCATAACTTTCCAGGACTATTCCAATGGATTTCAAACTGATTTCTTTGCTGCTGGTCTCCTCTTTAATTCATCCTCTACAATGAATCTCATCTGCAAAAAAAATTATCTGGTGATAAAAATTCTTGTTTAATAATGATTTCTGGGTTCCCCACTTCCTTGGGCATATAATCAGCACTTTTCTGCATGACACATAAAGTTAGTCATCATCTGACCTCAAACATCTCATCTCTTGCTAATTCCCCTCATATAATTTCTGTTCCAGGTAGGAGAGACTACCAAATCCTGTTTCTTAAACATATCCTTGTCTATTTGTTTACATGCTTGACTTTTCTGATAAATTCCTCAAGAATCTTCAAGACTTAGCTTAAAAGTGTCCTCATTTCAAGTCTTCCCTAACTTCGCCTAGGCAAAAGGCCCTATAATCCCAGTCCCCATTAAACATAATACTTTTTCTACATTGTTAACAGATACTCCCCTTGTGGAATTGTGAGTTTATGAAAAAATTACAGTATGTATGATCATTAAAGGCAAGGATCACATTGTATTAATTTTTAAATCCTCGGAGGTAACACAGTACCTGGCATATAGTAGACAAGTAAATATACCATAAATGAATAAAAGAGAGTACAAAAGGAAAGGGGAGAGAGAGAGAGTCATAGGTACAATTATTTCTTGATACTTTTACTCAGGTCTCGCATATCCATTTTTTATTTATATGTGGAAATCCTAAAATAGTAATTTTGTGAACAATTCTTCCATATCTATCTCATTTGAAACAGAATCTCATACATAAAAGAAAAAAATTCAGGTACTGGTCTTATGATCTATTTTTATAAGTATTAAAAGGAAAAATACCCTGAAAGGATTTAATTATATTTCCTAAAACGCACAAAGAATCATGTTTTGGGGGAAAAATAAGTAATAGTTTTATATATATTTATTCCTATACATTGCTCCACAAGATAGCAAAGAAATAGTTCTTTGTATCTACTTCTGGCATGAAACAGTGAAAAATATTCTAGAATAAAAGTTGTAAGGTCTGTCTTAAACCTGCCTCTATCACCACAAAAGGCCATGTGAACTGAGCCAATCACTTAACTTCTCCAAGTCTCAGAATTGTAGCTATAAATTTGAGATAAAAAATAATTTTCCTGCATAGCTCACAGAATTATCATAAAGTTCAAATAAGCTAATACATATTAAATCACTTTATAAACTTTACTGTAGTTTACACAAAGACTATCACCATAATCTTGCCCCTTTTTAGATTTCAAGTTGTCAAGAATGAATGGTACAGCATTAATTTACAGCTGGTTTGAAAAAGCTTGGGGGATGTCTGAATGTCTGGCCTTGACTCTGGGCCAAAAAATGAAAAGTGAGATTTATGGTGTGCTGCTGAAGTCTGAATTGCCTCTGCTAACCCCCAACAGGATCTGTTTGCTGATGGCTTTCACCTGGTATAACTGGTTAGACAGCCGGGCTAGACTATATGACCAGAGGGGCCAAAAAAAAAAACCTTCTGCGCTGAGTTTTCCTGAAGCCTAGATTCATTGCACACATCTTGGTAGTTCAATCTGGAGACAAAGCATGTCTTTGTATGAATAAAGACCCTAGGGCACTTGTGCCTGGATGTCACTTGGGCCCCCATGCTTCCTGATGCTCTTTTTCTTACTGCACAATATCCTTCCCCTTTAAATAAAAGCTTTATGTGAGTATGCTCTGTGGAATGTTGTGAGTCATTTCAGATATTCAAATTTATGAAATCTTTAAAGTTGCCAACAAAAATAACTATAATTTTATTTTATGAAGGGCCTTTAATAACTATACATTTATACTATTTTACACATAAATGTTTTAGATATATGTCTGCTTATGTACATAATTTTGTAAAGGTCAAAAAACAATTTTCATCTTAAAAAACAAATTTGATTAAAAAATAAGAATAGTTAAATATTAACAATCTTGATGTCGTAAGTACTCACGTATTTTATTTTTGCTACAAAGAATTTTTAAAAGCAAATTATTTTGTATTCAGGTAGGCTTCCTTGTCAAGCAATTTAAAATTTCTGAGATTTTTCTTTAATGTAATTTTCATCATTTATGAGATTAAAGAGGTCTGAATTAAATCTTTCAAAAACAAAGCTTTGCTCTGTAAGCAAAGTATAATCAAATATAACATAAAACACAGGATACGTGTATGTATTTTATATTAATATATACTAGCATCAATCTCAACAGAAATTAAAATGCTTTAATTATCAATGCCTTTTCTGAGATTTTACAGCAAATAAAATGAGTCCATTTTAAGATAAATTTCTGTCTGTCTTTTATAGGCTCATATCAAGAGAATCCTAGAAATATTTACAGTATTTCTTTCATACAACGAAAAGTGCTAACACTTCTGAGAAAAAGACCCAGTTTTTATGGATTTGACACATAGTCTAAACTTTAGAATTTAAAATAAAACAAAAATGCATACATTAGGTACTTTAAATAAGTTCTTCTAAAATTATCCAGTATAATAAAGTAAATCATTTATTTTTAAAGACTTCAGAAAATCCTCAATTTTAGACAAGGTTCTGAATTTTCAAGATCACTTCTGCTTTTAGGAAACTAATAGTAAGTAGCAAAACTGGAAAAAATTTATTTTCATTTTTTTCTCCTTTCAATCTTTAGTAGCAGTCTAATGATTAAAACAATTCAAAAGACAGAAGCCTACAAAGAAACTTTAAAAGCAACAGATTTTAATAATTCACATACTGAGTTATCAAAACTTTAAAACAGTCTCTTCAGTCTTGAAATAGTCATTTGTATATAATTTTTACATAATTCAAATTATTATATACAATTTAAAGTAGTTCAAAATTCTAATTTCTATGTTGGAATACAATTT